TGACAATTTTTTGACTTTCTTTTTAAATGCGGCACAAACAACTTCATCGGGCAAGTCAATGAAATCGCCGTCGTTTGGGGGGGGAAGGGGAGAGGGGAGGTTTCGTGAAACACTAAGTTGAGGGGCTGTGAAATGATGGAAGTAAATGAGTACGCAGAGTTCCCTGGCAAAGACGAACGGATTTATATAGATTGATGAATGTTTCCTCGTAAGTCCCTGCGACTCCAGAAGCCAGGGATTCAGGCTGCATGTTTGGGGGGTATATATCCCCAGCATGGCTCCCCTGAACAAGATCATGCCTGACGTATGCGGGCCGGAACACGAAATTGTACGTCAGCAGGCCTATCGCAAAGCTCCAAGAAAGCAAATGGCTGGTGAAGTGGTGAGCTTGGATAAACAAATCAGAGCCTGGCAATTCGCCCGTTGGCCCAAACGCCAGAGGAACAAAAAAAAGGAGTGCAGCCCCGACTAAAACTCTCGATTGCTCAGAGGAGAGGAACTTTACGCACGGCAACTCCTCCATGTCGTTACGGGGAGGACGCTATCATTGACTGATGAACAACTCCACCGCTGTTAGGCATGCACGCGCAAAATAACTGCAGATTGAGTGCTTTCGCGCAATAGGACTGGCTGTGACTATTGCCAATCAATCCGTATCCAGACAGCTCTCTTTTGATGTGCCTGAGCTCCTGAAATTCCGGCCTCTCGTGTGCGTCCTTGGCCCCATAATAGCATGGCCGCTCCAGCTCGCCACTGAGAATGTCCCTGTGTGGATATACTACGCAGGAGATACGACTTCGGGAGCCGCTCATCATTCCTCTTTTTTTTTTCTTTTTTTTTTCTTTTTTTGCTTTTTTAATCTTGTCTTTGCTTCATTGTGCTGAAGAGGGAATCCACCAATCAACGCCACTATGGCCTAGTCGGGCTCGACTTCAATCATTCAGGTTTCATGGTTTCATTATTTTTCCCAGTTGAGTTCGGTCTTTTCGCCTCTCCGGTTCATCGTATAGTTAATTATTCAAGGGATCCATGCATGTTAGAAAAGCCTCCATCCGGTTAAAGTCAAGAATACCCCTGCTTCGATAAATTGCCGATTTCACCCTGAAGCGGGCCATTGATAATGATATTAATTAGATAGGGTCGCATTCGATGCGAGATCTCCTCATATTCAATTCCCCCCACCCGGAGCCAAGGACAAATAAGCACTTTCGGCCCAGTCAAATCTATATTAAGATTTCTCGGAGTTACATTAGCTCCCTCTGTTCCTGATAGTTATCCGCCTTTGGGCCATCTCCCGCGAGTGGGCTTAGCCCTAATTTTGGGATTTCCAATTCCCTGCAGAAGCTATTTAACAAGATCTCCACAACAGAGAAGATGAGAGGGCGGATTATTTTTGAGAATCTTCAAAAAGGATTTGAGCAGAACGAAGGGCTTTTGTTGGAATGTTGGTACTCTGTACAGAGTACTCCGTACATGGCTGTAAAGTCTCAAAAATGCACACATCATACACCTAGGAAGCGCTGGAACATGATGCCTTCCTTGGTTTTACTGCGTATAAACCGGCGACTCAACAGTGTCTGGTCTTTGAGCCATGGGTGAGACAGTCTCAGCCGAACAACTACTACTGCCACCATCACCACCACTACTGCCCTCATTCCACTGCACAATCGACAGAGGTCGCCGTCCCGAGTACTGCGTACAGGACACAGAGCACAGAATAGGTATCAGCGGCCACTACATGCCCCGTGAAATACAAACAAAAAGAATCACGTATATTTTAACATTCTCTGCACTTGGATACTTCCTCGGAGAGCCCGCCTTCTCAATTCTCCAGTATTACCAATTCCCTGCCCGCTATCCATCTCGAGTGCTTCGTGTGGACCTCCCTCCGTCGACAAGCGACAGCTCGGTGGATGCAGGCAATAAAGTCACATCCCCCTTGCCCCTTCTCCGCCCAACTCATCGTCGATGGACGCGTCCTACACAGAGTCTGTTTCGCTATACCGAAAGAAAATGTCCAGCAGACCATTGTTCGATCCAAAGGTTTCCCCCCCAAAAAACGTATTCTCCATTACGCCTGAGACAAGCTGGACTAGATCTCCCCCGCCGCAGTGGCTCTCTCTCGCTCTTTCACCACTATTACTAAATCTTCATTGGCATAAGGCAATCCCACAGAACCTCTCCGCCTGATCTATGTCTGGCAGACAAGACCTGACCCGTCCCATTCCATTGATGGGAAATGCGCACCAGTCTTATTGAGTCTCTGGGCTAGGCCTCGGCCTCCGTTCCGCGTGAACGACGTGTCCCGTGGCATCATCCATCAGGCGGACAGCGCTGCATCCGTCTCTGAAGCACGTCTCGCTTTCTGTCTCAGGCCAATTGGGTGGGGGGAAGGAAGGTTAGTTCATCGTCTGGGAGAGCTTGCAGCCCTATTTATTTGATGCGCCCAGTGGGCAATAACCTGCTCCAACAGGCCTAAGATATCTCAATCTCAGCTGATTCATCTGGAGTTGAATCGACTCTACGTCGACTTTCTTGGGATGGCGGAGACCGTGGGTACTCAGTAGCTGTCCCGTCAGGAGGCTGGCCGGTGAACGGTACATATAGCACGTGTACTGTACGTTTCATATATATATACTAATCACGAATAACGGGACAACGAACATTTGGCTGTGTTCACCACATTGGCATTCCCCTGCCACGAGCCCGAATGAAACTACAGCAAAAAGCTTTTTTGCAATCGACTCATCCGTCGATCTGTAGATGGGACGTTGGTAAAATGGAGACGACGGGCCCAAAAATGCCAAAAGAAAAGAAAGGAAAGGAAAGGGAAAAGAAAAAGAAAACCACTTTGTGTTCATAAAACGGCTTGATTGTTCAGTATCGACCATGCGCCAGCCCATGAGAATTAGATCCATCCGCCAGTCCCTCGAATACAATTACACCCGCAAGCCCGAAGAAATAAAATATAACAGAAATTAGAAGGAGGGAAACAAGGAAGCTTTTCTATGGTAATCTTGCGCAAAGCTAAGTGGGTTTTGAAGATGGAACGCAGACACGAGCAAGTTGCAGGAGAAAGGAGAAAGCAGACGTAAAGACGTAATTGAGATAAAAATCGAGAGCAAAACACAAATCCTCATTCCCTGTAAATCAATTCATTTCTGCGCCCCCGATGTAAACATGGCCTTCCCTTGGCACATGGGAAATTCTAACCATAGATATATATGCTTTGAAATTAGAGTGGTGACAATGAGATTTTTGTTTTTTTTTATCCCCTTCTTATGAGTCCTCCTCTGTTGTATTGGCGCCAGCCAGTTGACGATTTCATTCCCCGTTCGTTACAGAGTGAGTAGGATTTCACAGAACAGGCCCTTTCAGCAGAATATTTTGTAGACCTTCTTCCATTTCGGCCATTGGGAACGCTCAGCACGTTCCTCCGCGATCAGGTGCGCGATACTGAGGTCGCGCCTGCCCGTGTCGAGATCCATGTCCCTAGCGCGAACAAACTTAGTACGATACAAGAGCTTGTACGGAATGTAGAAGGAGATAATAATTGGCACGGCCACGTAGAGCTCAAACACGTTCTTGACTCGCTCTTGGGCCGTCATCTCGCCGAAACCAACAGGGGCAACCGCGACCCATAATTGCGCCAAGAGGACAAGCAAGTTGAGTGCCAGGCCGATGTATGAACCGACTACCCCAGGCTGAGAACGGTAAGGTATCTCGTCGAGACTGCGTCCCTGGACCTTCCAACCCTGACGAAACCGGATATGGGCAAAGCAAACTGATGACCATGTGAAAATGGAGGATAGTGCAGAAATCGCAAGCATCCATGCGAATACCGTGCCTTGCTTTTCCTTCGCAACAGCGAGGTACCCAAGTAACCCAACGGCGGAGGAAATGCCAATCGCAGCGAGTGGACGACCACGGCGATCGATGTAGGTGAGAAAGTGAGGCGCCTGGCCCTGTTCAGCTAGGGCTGCAAGGGTACGTGAAGAGCCGTATATTGAGGAGTTTCCAACGGAAAGCACGGCAATCATGATAACAACATTCATGACTGAATCGAGCCCTTGGATCCCAGCGTCTCGTATCGCGATCACAAAAGGGGACGCGTTCGCATCGTAACTGGATTTGCCAGTAACCAATCGTACATCATTGTATGGGACAAGCAGTCCGATTATGGTCAAAGACACGATATAGAATAGGGTTATCCGCCAGAAGACTTGCTTAACGGCTGTCGGTATTGTCTTTCGTGGGTTAGCGGTTTCTGCAGCCGCCAAACCCACCATTTCGGTTCCGGCGAAGGCGAAGGCAGCAGTAACAAAGACGCTGCAAAGTCCCTTGAATCCGTTATGAAATGCCCCTGGGTTACGCCAGTATCTACCACCGATGTACTCGCCATTTGGCCCGCCGCCCACGTTTAGAATGACTCCCAATATGCTGTTATAAGGGAAAGAGAGAAATGTCATGTTAGCGGGCAACGGAAAATGAGTCGTAGAAGGAGGCAGATTGGGACGTACATAAATCCGATGATTGCAATAACTTTAATGAGAGAGAATACGAATTCAGCCTCCCCATACCCACGAACACCAAACATATTTATGGTGACTATTAGCAAATAAAATATGGTGACCCAGACTGCAGGAGAAACCGGGGAGTGCCAGTAGTTGACAGTTATGGCAGCAGCTACAATTTCCAGGGGGAGCACTATAATCCACTGTAAAGTGTAGTTCCAGCCCATGGCGAATCCCCAAGCTGGATCGATAAAGCGGGTGGAAAAGGTAGAGAAGGAACCAGCAACGGGGAAGAGCACGGCCATTTCGCCCAATGCATGAACTGTGGAATATAGCATGACCCCTACAAGGATGAACGCGATTAAGACGGAAGCAGCTCCGCCATCTGCAAGAGCTTTCCCCGAGCCGACGAATAATCCAGTACCTAGCATTATTCATGACATTTCATTAATCACAGAACATGAAATGGAATAGAGAGTAGAGGGAACACCAGCTCACCAATCGATCCTCCGATGGCTATCATCTGCAAATGCCGACCTCTCAGTTTACGTTGCAGTGGAGAGGATGCAGTGTTGGAAACGGCCGCTTCCAAGTTATATTGCTTGTCCTGACTGGACAGCTCCTCTTTTTTGGTTATCTGAGCATTGGGGTCGCGGCGGAAACCATCCACGAAGCGAACAAAGATGCTTTCACGGGGCACCCCGTCGTCATCGCTGACCGGGCTCATATTGGCGGCAATGGGCTTTGGTTCCTCAGTCATGTCCGCCATTATCGACGTTCTTCGTGAGATCCTCGATAGGTATTTAAGGAGCCAAAAACAAAGATGGGCTGCGTTTTATTCCTCTCCTCTATTGCCTAAAGAGGATCATGTTTCATCAGCACTGCGCAAGGCGTGGAAATTAGATGCAACCAGAAGATTGACTTGCAAGACCAAACGACATGCTCAAGAGAAGCAAAAAAATGCTATCACTGAAAGGAAATCCACGATAGCGCCAGGGGGAATGGTGCAACACAAGCTCCTAAGCGTAGACTTGTTCCTTTCAACAACAATGCACACACACAATATAAGGGAGACGAAGAGTCTGGATTTATAATATTTGCAACATAACAACAGCCCAAGAAACCATTATCAAGGCCAGTCTCTTGGGCATCTAGCAAGTGGCAAAGGAAACCGAGCAGAATAAGCGCAGCTAGCAGGGTATTGGGAGGGACCCGCCGGTTTAGAAAGAATTCCAACTGACCTTGAGAATCAGGGACCCGGAGCGGTGAATGACTTGACACGGATATCCCAGTCTAGTCGTACTTTATCGAGAGAGAGGACTGTAGGTGGGAGCCATGGATGTAGAAAAGTGAAGAGGTGGAAAGGGAGAGAAAGGAGGATGAGGGTTGAACTGTAGTGAGTGGGACAAGAGGCCAGGGGAAATAAAAATATGCCATTTGCCCCATTGGCAATTTTAACTGGGGACGGATCACCGCTCTGAAGGACCAAATGCCGTCATGGGACAGTGATATTTTGCAGAAAGCAAAAATAAAAAATAAAAATAAAAATAAAAATCAGCTTGAGTTCGCGGGGAATAGAACTCGGTTGGCTACGAAACTCTACGGTTATTCCATCTCTGCCATCGGTAGCATGTGGCCTGCCCGTCGCATCTCGAATTGCGTAGATTCGGGTTATCTATCCTTACCCGTCACATGCAGCCTGCGATACGCTGCCCTGTAGAACGATGCAGTCCAGATGCAGGAGTTGGCACACTTCACGGTCTGTTGTTGGTGCCCTTTCGCTGGGCATTCAGCAATGGGCTCAGAACATGCCATGTAAAGGGTATATGGTATATGAATGACTTCACGAAGCCTACAACACTCCGTCGGCAGCGTCTGCATCATTCCATGATCTCTAGTACACGAATACTAGTAAGCATTCTTGAATGCGACTCCTCCAAGGCTAGGGTCTCACAGATGAAAACCATAAACGGATAGGCTGGGACCACTAAAATAAATTTTTTTTTTTTTAAAAAAAAAAAAAAAAAAAAAACCAAAGCTTAGAAGAGTGCCCGGTTCGGGCATTTGAAGACTCTAACCTTCAACAGATTAAAGTTCGGAACCGACACAACCCAGACTGATTGTTTCGTCGCCCATGGAAGACATGGTGGGACCGGGATCTGTTCACCTCCGTAGTCCTATAAGCTGCCGAGTAACATGAGATCTCAAAGAAAACATTTGCCCCAATCCAGGAAATGGAACCGGAAAGAGATGTGAGGTTGGAGATGCCGCGGATAAAAGCTGTTCCACTCCCGATGACTAACACAGCCACTAACCAACCACCACCTCCTCAATTGAGTTCCCTAACCTAGCCTCCGATTCTAACGCTGCATTGGGGATGGTATTTGGATGAGGTGCCTGCAGGCCGATCCCGAGCCAAATCCTCCCTTCACCCGTCGCCGCCAGCAGCCAGGGGTCCCCATGTGTGTGCTGGTGGGAGAAAAGTTGGCAGGACATGGTAACTAAAGGGTGGACCATTCAATAGGTGGTTGGCTCCTGAGTGAACAACAACCCCGCCATCTCATATAGATATAAGAGGAAATCCCTTTTCCGCCCTCCTCCGCGCCATCCTCTCTCCCAGGTGCCTGTATTTCTTGCTGTGTATATAACTGTTTCGCTGCTTTATATACCTATATATATCCCAATTCAAACAGTTGTTATTATATCATTTCTAAAATCCAGAAACCTGCCCTTTCCTTCTCCCAGCCTCTTTATCAAACAGCCATGGGCACTCTACAGGCTCCCATCCAACGGTCCAGTTTCCCTCTCACGTCCTCATACAAACCCTCTCTAGTTACGATCATACAGCCGTCCCGTCAAATCCAACAACGCTTCCAAAACCGCCTCGGCGTATCAGCCTTTACAGCTTTTTCGCCTGCCCAAACCCAAACGGAGTCGGAGTCGGAGTCGCCCCAAAAACCCAGCAACCAGGACCCGTCTGATCTCGACCCAAACTCCACCGAAAGCACAAGCAGTGGTGCCCACGGTATCCACGCCGAAGTCGCTAGCCAGCAGACTGCGTTCAACCCATCAAACACTGTCCCAGAGTTCGAGCTCGAGGAGGCGCGCTAGGAACCAGCCGGGGGCAATAATAGCGGCGGCAGTGGCGACGCCGATGCAGGCGTGTGACGGCTAACAAGAGCGCTAAGAACCCATAGGAAGTAAGCTCGGCTAATCGGGATGGATCAACTTCAAAGTGATGAAGGCGTGGCAAAGGGCCAAGCAAGGATAAGGGGCCGAGAAAACGCCGTTCACCAGCGAAGGGGGATGGAGTGAGGTATAAAATTTAAATGCATTCTATTCTCTCTGAGGGGCGCTTGGCTACCTTGGTCTTTTTTATTCGGTTCGATTGTTTATGACCTGATCAGCCCAACATTTTTATTCACCCTGCGCGCCCTAATACTTGGTGCGATTTTATGGTTTCTTTGGAGAACCCTTATCAGATTCTATAGCGAAGCATTGCATCATTGCATCATTGCATCATTGCATTCTCTGAGCGTGCTAGTTGGATTTTTATTTTCATTTTATTTTATTTTATTTTTTTTTTGGTGCGCTTTTCCCCCGAAGGTTTGTTTCTATATCTCTGTCTTTGTTTTTTCTTTTCTTTTGGGAGCATTTTTATTTTTTTCCGTATATAAGCCTTCAAAAAGTGTCGTTCTTGGCCCCAGAGCGGGCTTATTTCACACACACACACACACACACACATGTTTGTATTGCAAAATCCATCCTGCCCGAGGTACAATATTTGTGAGGGTCTCATGGGCGCCGACCCCTTGCTTCAACTGGACCTAATAGATTCCAAGTAACCCCACCTCATATGTAGCGGAACTCCGGCGTACAGCCGTGGCGTAAAATCATGGGGAATAAATCCCATCAATCAATGAATCTGAAATCTTAATGTATTGCCCATGGTCAGTGGAGAGGAACAAACACTATTCAGACGAAGGTCTCTGTCGATAGCTCTAAGAGTATGAACGATTTTAACATGCATATTTCAAACAAAGACAAGGAAAAAAAAAAAAAAAAAAGGAATCGGATTAATTGTAGAAGGCTTTTTGCAGTAGTGGGGGGTGAATTTCTTAAAGATCAACGGCTCCATCCGCTGTAATTAGTCCTGAGTGCGTCATTAAATCAAGGTAGCCCTCCACAGCAAGTAAGCTAGGCTATACATATCCCTTCCGTTTACATCGAGGTATACATGTGAGTGTCTTTCGAGCCCGGAAGCGTTAGAACATATTAGCAACGGGAAAGGGAGTGGGAAAATGAAAGACGACATTATAGAGGAAATGGAGCCGGCAATATTTGTCTCCCCGACGGGGTTGAATTCATTGTGATATCGATACTAAAAGGCGTATATCATTTAACATGACTGTTTTATCCTGAAATCTCTCAAACGCCAACAAAATCAAGTAGAAACGATAGAAGAAAGAAGAAGAAGAAGAAGCAGGAAATGTAAGTTAAAAGCCTCAAGTGATAGAGCTGTTACTCCGTGGATTCAACTGTCGGCTTCTCGCCCCGGGCCCAGAAGAAGGGTACGCGGCAACAACGTGAAAATTCAGTTGAACGTCAAGTTTCGTGGCTATGCATGAGTTAATACAGCTATGCAAGAATGCCATACGCAGTTTAATGCTCATGCAAAGAGCAAGCCATCGCGGAGGCTTACAATCGCCAATTTTCTCTATGAGTCGGTAGCAACGGGGCCTTCACCGCCAGGGATCAACTGTTCGCTTCAATCAGTTGCCATTATTGAAGCCGAAAGGTCCACAAGGCATCAAAAAAAAAACCATCAAAAAGCGACGTTCCATCAGACCCGGTGTTTAACTCACCATGCAGATATTATTTCCATTCAGGAGTATCTTTGATAGCTTGGTCTGAGAACCTGTGTAATCACTATGACACCATCAAAATATGACAGCGGGCAGCACATCAGCCAATGCCGTACTTGAATAGTCCAACATAGGAGGTAGTCCACATACAATTCTGTGACATCTTCTAGAACCATATCTGGGGTTAGGTGTTAGCCAGATGGCCCCACGACCAATTCATCAATCAAAACAGAGCAGGGACATTTAACGTACTGACGTAGTCATCGAAGCCGAGTAGGGTGCCGGAGAACTCTGAATTAGATGTTAGAGAGGAAAGAAAGGGGAAATATCTGAACCCAACCCCTCCTCACCTTTATCGCCTTTCATGACAACCCAGATTTTCGAACCAACACATTTATCAATCAACTCTGCAACACACAGAGATTAGGACACAGAAGTCACAGAGTTTACGGACACATTTAACGGAGCTGTTCAAGCTTTTACCTAAAGGGAGCAGCTGGGAAGCCATCGTGACGAAAGTTCGTCCCTCAGTCTTGATAACCAGTAATTAAAACACTTCCTAACCCCGATTGAATCGCAGATTTAGTCGAATAGAGAAGGCAAGAGGTGCTTCAACATGGAAACCGAGTCACTTGCATATACTTCCTTTTGGCAGCGCTTCTTGCGAGTTTCCAACTCTGTGTGGGACGCTGAGAACGAAGATAGCATCAGATCACATGATGCAAACCCTTTCGGGCCTGGTATTTTATTAGGCCTAATCGCTTTGGGGATAGCGTATCTTCAACTCGCAAAAAAAAAAAAATCAAAAAAATCAAAAAAATCAAAAAAAAAACCCATGACAACGCGACAGGTTCAGTTCATTCCGCAGAGTTCTCTGTGTTTGACGCCGTTTCGATGGCGGAAGGAGTATCATTCACGGCTTCCGTTGACTAATTTGCCCCATACGTTATCTATGATGCGTGCTCCATCGTTTGGATGATGTTTCCACATGGGCTGAGAGAATGCTACTTTTCGGCAACGTGTGTAGGCTGGCGTATTCAGCCCGAAGTGAATCGCATATCCAAGTCCAGATATAACACCCTATCTTTATATTTGCGTAGCGGATGGTGAGAATCCTGCTCTCGCAAGCTCTGCAAGTGAAGCGAGCTAATATTTTTTATTTTTTCTATTTTATGTGAAGTCGCAATTATTGCTATTCCACCAATGTCACTTACATCATATCAAGAGATCGAAAGCTCCGAACGTCTTCCCCATGGCACGGAGCACGCCTAATGTACACGCCTTGGAGGGCTTTTTCTGACACCCCTTCCAATTATGCTGCGCCGAAGCCCAAACCCCCTTCGAATCTCAAGCCTCTGGCACCCAAACCCTTGTTCGGGGCGCGGACTCCGCAAACACCAGCCATTGTAAAACCGACAAGCCGGGTACGTACACCCCAGGATCCGCGTGCTATATTGGCGCAAACCCTTACTCCTGCAATCGCCGTCCCCGACCTGCAAGATGAACCGCCCTTGGAAGAGCGAATTCTCCAACATCGCAAAACCCAGGCTTTGAGTCCAGAACTTCTGGGCCCGGCTATCGGCACGTTGTGGGATCAGATAGAATTCGACGAAGCCTACAGCGAGCGTCTACAATTGCTGGATGCACAGATCGCGGCAGCTGCAGCAGCAGCCCAGGATTCCCAGCCACTAGAAATCCCGACGTTCACACCATCACCAGCCGATCTTGAAATCGATATGTCTGCTTCCGCGGATATGCTGAAGCTCGAACCAATTGAAGAACGGGAGGTCGAGCTAGTCGATCTCCAACGGGACATCAAGCGACTTATAAAGCGTGTGCGGAAGCTCCAGAGTCGCTTTGTCGATATCAGATATAATATCATCATGCATGACATAGCAGTGACCAGTTTTTTTGATACTGTATTGAAAAGGTTATATCATGACGGTATTTACGTTGCCAGGGTGCGTGAGTTGACTCGCTTTTGGAATTCGATTGAAGTGTCAGTTCGCAAACGGCGGCGAGCCTATCTTGATTCCCAAAGCTGGCTTTCTAAGGTCAATTCGAAGGAGCTGAGAGATATTTCTTTTCATCTTAAATATCTAGGAGAATTGCCACGGTTGCCTCGAACAATGCAATCAATTTTTAGCAAATATAATAGGTTATTGGGTATGGATAAGAGAATTATCTCTTTGGCAGGCCACATGTGGCGGAAGTACTTGGGCACCGGGTTATACCTCTCTGAGCACGCTTCTGTTCCTAACGCCTGGAATTTTGAGGTTTTGTCCACTTCCACGAGTGATGCTTTTATTCAATACCGCAACACAATTAGTGACACGATCGATGAAATCAACAACATGATCGGGGGACTTCTATCCAGGCCGCAGAAGCGCAGTCAACGCGCGCACAACCAACAACTACTCACGATGCTGGAGAACAGCCTGGCGGTACATGCTTCAGCGAAGAATGACTTATGTCAAGATTTCGGCCCATTCTATTCTTACGCCCTTTACCTTTTCTATTCTAGACAACCAACATCCAGTATTTACTGGAAGCAGTGGGAGGTTATTTCCCCTTTCATTACCTCACGGGCCCTCATACTTTCAATCAGGGGTGCTGTGAGTGATGTTCTCAATGTCCTAGACATTGGGAAACGGGCAGGTCACAGAATACCGATAAAACTTGAAGACTCTCTCTGGAAATGGTACAGGGAGTTTCCTATTTTATGGATGGATGAATTCATCGTGGAACTTGAAGCGTTTATTGAACTTAATTTCCTTCGCCTCCAAACCGAAGAAAGGCTCTCCCGGCTTGATTTAAACGTCAATGCAAGCCCGTCTGTTGTCTTTCCAAATCAAACTGATATGGAAAAGCTTCGTAACTGGGCTTTGGGACTGGAAAGAATCACTGGACCAGGGAATAACTTTACTCTAGGAGACTCCGAGGTAGATACATCTCGAAAAGTTACGGACAGTAATCGTTGGCTTCGTATCCAGCATGGAGTATGGGATAGGGGCAACAGTCCTACTGGCTCAAGATCCACTACGCCAACTGCACCTCGATCTCTACCATCGAGGCTGAACAACACCAAAGGACTAAGACGTTCTGGCATTCGTTCAAAACCTCCGCCGCCGCCATCAAAGCCGACTAAGGTAAAATCCAAAAGCCATGACACCAGTCCGAAACTATCAGCATCACAGCCAGCGAAGAGGAAATCCGAATCTGTCATCAGGTCAAAGGCAGGTACGGTAAGTGAAATTGAGCCCTTGGTGGCTGAGACAACGTCATCACTGGTCAGGGAACAAACCATTACTACCTCCAAAAAAAAGCCTTCACAATGGCTAAATGGACTATTTAACCGTGTACCATTTTCCAAATATCATACCAAAACTGCAGTTGGCGTTTCCGGCTCCTCCACACAGACATCCAACGGTCAAGCTGATCCGTCTCAGTCAAAGTACTGGAGCTATAATTTGAATAAAACTCCGGATGGCAAAGAAATCACTGTTCACTATTGCACTTCCCTTCAGACTATGGAACGAGTAGCAAAGCTTTTTTTGTCCGAAACTATTGTCGGCCTTGATGTTGAATGGAAAGCTCAAGCCTCTGCTCAAGATTCCCTTGTGGATAATGTTTCTGTGATACAACTTGCGAGCAAGGAGCGAATCGCCATATTTCACCTGGCTTTATTTAATCCTGCAAATTCACTACAGCACCTTCTGTCTCCTACTCTTAAGAGAATACTAGAATCTCCCGATATAGTCAAGGTTGGCGTCGCTATCAGGGCAGACTGTACACGCCTGTATAAATTTTTGGGCATTCGGACAAATAACATTTGCGAAGTCAGTCGCTTGCACAAAGTAGTGAAGCACCACCTAAACCCAAAATTGATCGATAAGAGATTGGTGAATCTCGCTCAGCAGGTTGAAGAGCATTTAGGCTTGCCACTCGACAAGGATCCTGAAATCAGATGTGGTGGCTGGTCGAAAAAGCTCAATTACCGTCAAGTACAATGTAAGTTGATTTCGCTAACTCGCTCATCTGCCATTTTATCTCGTCAGTCTCTAACCCACCATTTCAGATGTTGCAACAGATCCATACGCCGCCTTGCAGCTTTTCCATGTCTTAGAAGCCAAAAGGCTCCAGTTAACGCCTGTTCCACCTAGCCCGGTCAATCCAGTCATCGTCTATACTACCCCAGACTCTATTGCGAAGATTCATCCAAAAAGCAGTTTAACGCAAAATGAAGAACCCCCCCGATCCGTGTGAGAGTGAAATTAAAACGTCATTTTCAGACAACTGAGTGATATAAAACCATCTGGGTGTATGTAGCAATCCTGTTGCTTTCCCCCTGTGCTGATTGATAATTCCGAAATACAACGCCGTTGGCCACCAATCGAGTTACATTTGCGGTCGCTGCTCCGTTCGAAGGCGCCTGTAATCATTTCGAAAATCGATGTTTTCCATCTTCCCAGCCAGCTAGGATGGAAATAACAAATTGAACGCATAATCCTACCCAAATACCCCAATTATCCCCATTCTCCTCGAGATAGTCGATACGGACGCTAAGCCGCTATCCTATGAGGCTTCCATACTCTCCGTAAAATGAGATAATATCAACATACCCTCACCAAGACATTTCAACATCATATTTTAGATTTCTGTGTATATTGCATTAGCTTGTTCATGTCAAACTCATGCATGGTTGCGCTCGCCATCGGTGCCTGGCGTTTATCTTACTCTTGGCCAATCCTCCAGCCAATACATTTCGGGTTTTGCTAGTTTTGCGATTTGTTTATGTCCTAGGTTTTCTTTTTGGGAATCATTTGGATGGTTTAGATGATTGACATCCTGTTTTATTAGAAATCGTTGACATTGGTCCGGACAATAGACATCCCCTGCCACACCTGTACAAATTTATAGTTGGAATGCGCGAAAGTATACACATGCACGATGAAGTGTGCATTTTATATTCTATTGGTATCGACAATTGTATAAGTAGTTGTACATATATGCTATAAGAGACAATTAATTATCTTCCGCTCTCACATCTTAATATGAGAGGAGCGCCTCAGCCCCTCAAGGGCAAAATTTTCGAACCCAACGCCTCCTGCCGACATAGCGGGCACTCGGGTTTCTCCCGCACCCAGTCCCGTATACACGTCCAGCAAAAGATATGTCCGCACGTTGTCGCACTCGGGTCTTTATACGGCTCCAAACACAGGGTGCATTTCCGTTGCTGACCAGGAGGTACCCAGGCGAGAGATGCGTTGGTAGGATTTGCTAAATCATATCGCGCTTCGCTTGCGGGCAGTGATTGTATGGATGGTGGGGTATATATTGACTTTAGAGCGGTTTTTTGGTCGGAGCCTTCTTGTTGCTGCTGACCCTCCGCTGTTTCAGCGGTGAAGGAAGAGATGGTATTTTTGACATGCAGTATGCCCTGCACAGCTATTTGAAGAACGAGTAAAACGCCTAACACTTCATATCCGATTCTAGCTTCATTGTCTTCAATTCGCTTTGTGAAAACATATCGAAGACCCCAGATGCGTTTGGATATGTGGTAATATGCTCCAGAGAAATAGAAGGCGGCCAGATTCAGGGCGAAGATTGGGGAGAGGGAGGTAAGGGAATCAAGATGGTCCAGGACATAAATTTGGAAGCGCAGTGTGAGGCCCGGCTTGGAGGGTGTTTTCTGTTTTAAGGATAGTAATGCAGCTTTTGCCTGCAGCCGGGCAACGCTGCGTTGGAGTTTCGCCCGCATCTTTTGTCGTAACGCGGGGAGCAGCCGTTGCAATGTCCATGGTAATAAAATGCTGCTGAGGATATATCCGACCCGTCGTACCAGCGATGGTAATCGTAGTGAGTCATCTTCTAGTTGTACCACGTCGCAATACTCTTCGCCTAGTGTTCTGTTTCCGACAAGTGTTGTGAGGGAGAAGTAGAGGAGGTCAGTAAGGTTTTTGATTGCGTCGGTATGAGAATGGGCGAATCTTGCGCCGCGGAGAGCGCGAATTATTGTGTGGGCTTGCACCGAAAGGGTGCCAGAAATGTACGCATCCTTTTCGTGGCTGCGTATGACGTCCGGGGATGTGGCCCATGGAAAGAAATGCGAGACGGGGCTAGCTGATGGTTTGGGAAGAGCTGGATCTGCGTCCATGTTGCGGGATAGATCTTGAACAGATATGAACAGATATTTAAAACAAGTAGTATCGCAAGTAGCCTTGATATCAATGACATCCAATCCGCGAGTTATGTGTCTGTATTCTCGCAGTCAATCGGCCAGCGCAACGAGCATGACTTGCTTGGACTTACTTGGATGCGCCTGTTGAAGCTGGGATGAGGTTTCCCACAAACCTCGGCTGAGTGAGAGTCACGGGATTCTCTCAGTCACAGCCCTGGAAGGCCATGACATAATCATCAGGTTTCATCGTCCCAAACAGGAATCTTGTATCAACAGGTTTGCCGGATCAACTTCTATGCTGCAAAACCGTGGAGGACACTCTGTGCTTTTCTCTCCCTTCTGCAAATGATACAAGCTATCTAACACCGGATAGTAACTCACTCGAGTCGCTTATTTGCCCGCTTATCCTCTTACTCCCGCCCGTTACCTATCCTTGGCTCTAATACCTTCCCAATCGATTGTCCGCTACATATATTCATTTGCGATGGAATATGGACCCAGAACATGATGTGAACCGCAACTTGGATCACTTAAGCCGGTTCAGTCTCTTTTTCCCTCTGCCTTATCGAGTAGCCATAGTACTCGTTGCAGGTATGCTTTCTATATATCCGCCGAGAAAAACATCTTCCATAGCAACTTCTACTAACTCCGCCCTAGGTGTTTGGGGGTGGGGGCTGAACCTCCATTACTTATCAGCCGTTAAAATTGTATGTATGCCCCCGATTAGAATGGGGAAGAAAGAGTTATACAAGACCATGGTTCCCGATTAACATATGATTCAGGATGTCCCGGCCTTGATTCGATACCCTTCTCGATCGTCCATTCACCAGGTGCCCGTCTATCGCTCCACATATCACCTTGCGACTTTACTCTCTATCCCTCTTGCGATATCCCTCCTAATTTTCTGGTTTGTGACTCATGGGTCCGCGCAACGAGTTATCGAGTGGGAAATAATTCCGCAATCGTACCTCTTCCTGTTCTTCGTCCTCCTTATCTTCCCGCTTCACAAGCTATCCCGCAATGGACGACACAGGTTCGCTGTTGCATTGAAACGGGTTAGCGTTGGCGGCCTTGCAGAAACCCAAGATGGGAAATTCGGTGACATAATACTTGCGGATGTTCTGACTAGTTATTCCAAAATACTTGGAGACCTTTTCGTTAGCACCTGCATGTTCTTCTCATCGGAAGCATCCAGCACCAGTATTCCGAATAGGGAATGCGGCGGCCAAATTGCCGTTCCTCTACTTATTTGTATACCCAGCGCAATTCGGCTCAGGCAGTGCCTCATTGAATTTGGCCGGGTGCGGAAGGGAAACCGAAACATCGATGGCTGGGGCGGACAACATCTTGCAAACGCGCTCAAATATGCGAGCGCTTTCCCTGTAATTTTATTAACTACCTTGCAGCGCAATCATGACCCGAATTCTTACACCATTTCCGCAGAAAACCTGTATCGGTTATGGTATGTTTCTGAACTGGGATCAGAGCGCTGCCGCTTTTGCCAACCCTTCACTAACCTCATACAGGGTTCTGTCTGCACTCGTTAACTCACTATTCGCATTCTACTGGGATGTCGCCAAAGATTGGGATCTCACCTTATTTTCCGCGCTGAATCACCCCAACGACCCGGAGTACCCCTTCGGCCTGCGACGACATCGGTATTTCTACGCCAACGAAATGTATTATTCAGCTATTATCATTGACCTAATTTTACGATTCACATGGATTTCTCGGCTTTCTACGCGTTTGGACTGGGTGAATGATATAGAAGGCGGCGTTTTTGTGCTCATGCTTCTTGAAGTTGTTAGGCGGTGGATCTGGATATTTGTCCGAGTCGAAACGGAGTGGGGTGAGTACCATGACATCCCTGCTTTGATCCTGTTCAATATATATATATATATATATGTGTGTGTGTGTGTGTGTGTGTGTGTGTGTGTGTGTGTGTGTGTGTGTGTGTGTGTGTGTGTGTGTGTGTATGAACTGAGTTGTTACTAACGAGGGTTTTATTGGCGATAAAATTAGTCCGGAATAATCGTGGCCCTGCACCGGATGATATACTCCTAGGTGAATTTAACGGCAAGATAGACGAGGATTAGACAACAGATATGCCGAGCGGGACTGTATGGAGGTGCCGTCCTCAGCTCGCGCCGATTTATATTTCTCTTTGGCGTCATCAACATTTGGTTTTTCCAGAAGAAAGAGCCTATATATATATTACCATGTACATGAACATTACATCGATCTTTCCTGTTTCACTTTTTTGTTGTGTGTGCATCCACTTATATAATTTATATCATCAAATGCATTGGAACTCGATAGTTTTCTATTTTTTTTTTCATTTCTTTTTTTCTATGCCAATCTTGATTAAACTGGTAAGTATGCACGAGGTTGGTTCATGGTGACATAAAGTACTGTACAACCTCGTCGAAAAAGTTCAGACCGCGGCCAAGAGAAGAAAATCCGCTTTAAGATTTGAAACGCTCATCAATAACTATTGTGGATACGACTGGACTAACAGCGAAAACGGTTCAAATCAGGAGATATAGCTTTATTATTGTACAGGTAGTCAAGCTATTGAAGAGTAGTTAACAAAGGATAAACACAAAATTCAGGAGCATGAAGGCAGAAGTAAAGGCAAGAGAAGAGAAGTGGGAAAAACAAGGGTAGCCCAAAATAAAAGGCAGTTCCGCTATGATGAAAACACCATATAGTATAGTGGCTTACATGGGAAACGAAGTAAATATAAAAGAAATGTTGGGCCCGGGTTGAAGAAGAAAACGATGCAAGGTGGATGGAAGACCGATGGAAAAAAATTAAAAAAAAAGTAAACCCAACTCAAAATTCAAAGCCGTATAGGAACAAAGAGATATGACGGATCTTCCTGGATGAATCGTGGCTAGGAACACGAAATGAGATCCAAGAGCATAGCGGGATTATTAGATCAAGGAAACACCCAGAAAATATAGGAATGGGGCAAGAAGGGAGACTCTTATGTCAGGGAAAAGGGGAGGAAAGGAAGGAAGAATGGTTCTCCCTCGAACTAGGAAAAGGAAAAGACCTTGAATTATCTACTTGTATAGCCAAAAAAGAGTAATGACATGGCATGGAGGCTAATGTCGAAAAGAAGTAGAAGGAGAAGGGAAAAAAATAACTTTATATCATCTCGAAACGTCAGAAGCAAGAAAACAGAATATGAGAAAATGAAAACAATTGACGTAAACCTAATATCATCGACCAGGAGGGTTGTGGTTTTCAAACAAATCTTCTAGATACGCACTTGGCGCTCGCCCCTGCGGCGCAACGGATAGATTCACACTACTGGTTGAAGGATAGCCTTGCTCGTGACCTCCACCACGACTTGTCGGTGCCAGACTTGGCGAACCAGGCGGAGTTATACCACTCGCAGATCTCGTGCGGGTGTAACCCTGCGTCTGTGGGCCTAGCGGCGAGAGACCTATCGATTGGCCAGGGCCGGAGGCTGCTCCCGCAGCATAGTATCCGGCGGGGAGGTAGCCGGAGCCCCTGTTCCCGCTCGTATGCATACCCGCGCCGGCAGTCGGGGAGAAAAAGAGACTCGAGTTTGGTGTGTGGTTCCGCGGTGGTAATCCGGAAAGGCGTGCGCCACTGCCACCCATTTTCTCCATCGACATGGATGAACCGGGCGCAAGTTGCGGGTAGACGCCGGATTTCCGCTTGTTAAGGAGCGCGGGGGTTGAATCTGACTGCTCAGGACGAGTTGCTGCACGACGGACGGAACGGTTGATTGACCAAGCTACCAGCACTCTCCAGAGGAATACTATCAGGCCGAAAAGGCCCAGGGCGGCGCCTACTGCAATGAAGATGGTGCCCTCTGGTAGGCTTGAGACTTCGAGGTATGGGGCTCCGGCCGCTGGAGGCACTTGTGGGGTGGGTATTTTGAAAAGGGGAGGAAGACTGAAAGGAGAGTCACTGGTTATTGAAGGCAAGTTGCCGTTGGTCGTGGTAGTAGACGGGTCCGTTGTTGTGAGAGGTGGGAGGTCCTCATCATTCGGCTGGTCAGTTTCGGTTGGCTTCTGAGTCGTTCGTGGCTTGTCTTCATCAGTACTTTGAGGGGCGGTGGTGGTTGGTCTGGGGTTATCAGTCGTTTTGGGAGGAGGTCCCGGGTTATTTGTTCGGCTTGGTTTATCTTCCTTATCATCAGGGCCTTGCGCTCCCACTTTGCCAACCAGAGCTACCAGACATAGAAACAGTACAAAGAGAAGGAACGGCTTCGACGCCAACCTCCGCGATCGCCTCATAGTCGATGAGACTCAGGAAAGGTGTCAGCCAGAAAAGACAGGAATTTTTGGGTGTTATTAACAGTGATACCAAATTCCCCCCAAGATACGGTATCCTTGAGTTCGAGCAGTGAGTTTAGCAGTCCGATGGGCGTATCGAAGGCCCTAATTGATATTGAAAGTAGCAGATAGGTGCTTCTATCCTATCTACAGAAGTACTGTCGCCGGCAGGAGGGGTATTTTCCTGGGTAGGGCGGGGGGGTAGACGGAGCAAACCCGAGTCTGCGACGAATCGTTGTTCGAATGAAGGGAGAAGTTGGGGAAAAGCAAAATGAAACACGGAGCGATGGCAGATCCACGGAGAGCAGAGGAGAAGACGCAGTTTTGCGTAAGAAAGATACTGAAATAACGAGCGAACACAGGCAAAACAGAAGAGGGCGCAGCGAGCGTCAGGATATTTTGAGGATGTTGGAAGATGCTGTGATGAGGCTCAAGGGCTGGACGTCGTCGTACTGCTGGGATTGGATTGGCGGCCTGCAATTGGCTGCCAGCGGGTTAAAAGTGGAGCACTCTGCTAGAAGAGGAATGGATGCCAAGAACTTCCCCTGATCGCAGCCGAAAATGTTGGGGGGATTGGGTTGGGTGATTCGTACCCTCTATACCACCATGGCGCTGGTGGTGATTGAGCTCTTTTGCCCTAGTGGCCTAATAGGTTATGAGCCCGTGTAAGCGCGACTGCTACAGGGTGTGCCAACATGCTATCACAGGTTCGAATCAGACCAAGGCCAGAGGAATATCCCTTACTAATGCACATTCTCTTGCCAAGATGGGGGAGATTGGTGGTTAGGCACCCAGGAAGACCCCAGGCCACCAAGGACCAATGGCAGTAGGGTAGTGGAACTTAGGAAGAGCCAGGTTCCCCCAGCTGGCCGGATGGTAGAGTGGGTCCGAGGGGGGGTGTTGGGGGGATTGGGTTGGGTGATTCGTACCCTCTATACCACCATGGCGCTGGTGGTGATTGAGCTCTTTTGCCCTAGTGGCCTAATAGAAAATAGATATCAGCACGTGGTTTTGTTTCTTGTCTGAAACAGAGGCAAAGTCAGTTTATTATGCACATTATGATGGTATCTTGAAAAAAATCCAGCCAAACGCATACCCGAGATTTTTACAGAGGGATAAGATACGGCGACGCGGCGGATACCCTTCCTTTTTATCATCTTGCGGTCTCCAGTGCCCATCCCGCCCTGAGCATTGATATCTCAATGTCAGAAGTGCACAGCAGAAACTCTGTCATGCCCAAAGAGCCCAGTGTATACCGTACAAGCAGAGTGTATTATATGTCCTTCAGTAACTTCCATCTCTTGCTCCCCGCTCTATACAGGCAAAAGACCTGTGTGTTGAAAATTCGCCAGAAAATTCTCCCACCAATCTAAAGCTTCTCAAAACGGGATATTTTATACCACCGTCTTTCCACTTCTTCTCCCTCCCCAGAGCCGATAAAGACAAGGCGAAAAAGGCGCAACGCATAGTAGTATCATTGGGTGTAGTGCAGACGTCTATAGCCCATTGTTGTTGACTTGTGTACTTGTGCAAGGAGAAATGCATGTCTCTGTTGTGCCAAAAAAAAAAAAAAAAAAAAAAAAAAAAGAAAAGAAAGAAAGAAAGAAACCAGTTGACATCAAGAAAGTGTGTAGAGAAAACGGAACATCAATAGACGAAAACAAACATATTCAATATCAAAAATGGACAAGTCAAACAGACAATCCCAAGCTGTCATAAGTTCAAACCCAATAAAAGAATACGAAAGACATGTATGTGAAGAAAAAAAAACCAACACAACACCAGATACCTCTCCATTTCGAAAGAGGCTTATGAAAATACAATTAAAAGGAAGCACTTTTATTGCTGCTTCTTCACCGCCGCAGGACCATTATCTTTCTCAAATGCAACATAGGACACCTTCAAGCTTAACATGGCTGAAATGCCAAAATATATGATCACGACGATCAACAGGCTAATCATCAGGCCCATGAATATTCCTGCGAAGATAAAAAAGAATAATAATATGATGTGTCAGTGGGATATGTATGTCCTTACCATGGATAGGAACACAGAGATAATATCAATACCACGGGAGGCTGGCACCAAGAAAGGGGAAACTTCAGAAGGAAGACGAACCTGGACTAAGAAACTGATACTTCTCGAACAAAGGCAGATTCCTCAATTGCTCGTCGATGTCATCCTTGCTATCGCCTTCGGCCTCGCCATTCCCATCACGGCGCAAAAGCGAATGTGCCATGTTGTCCCGTTTCATGTTCATCTGTAGCGGGTTCTGAAAGATATCTTCGTCCATCATTTCATATAAAGCTGGTTCCTCCTCTATTTGGATACCTGCCGGAGTAGCCTCTCTGGGGGTCGTAGTATAGAGCACAGTGTAATCGCGGGACGGAAGACGGTCGAGGAGGGCATTAAGAAATTTATCTAACGGACGGTTTTGTTCACTCAGCTAATACATTCCTAGAAGCGCATAGCGCAGGGCCTGTACACCATTTTCTTCTTCTTGTTTCGTTTTTGGTATACCCACCATTCTTAACAAGTTGCTCCGACCTATTCAAGTCCGTGGCTACGCCAGCAAAATCAACCCTGACAACCAGTGGCGTCTTCGTGTATGCCTGCGGTGCGATACCAGCTTCTCCTAGACAACGCCCAGTCGGCATCAAATTATTAGCAACTTCCCCGCTTCTTCCCCAAGTATATAGCCATGAAATGATAAAAACGCAAATAGAATTGAAAATAAAACCCACCCGACCCATCAATCCTATCAGCCTCCACCCCACACCCCTCTTCCAAAATCCCTTGTAACTCATCCACATCCACCCTCCCCACAACTTCACTAACCGCCAAACTCCCCTTCACCTCCCCATCCAGCTTCAGCACCCGACGCCGCAGTTGCGGCGCGGCATCGCCCGTGCTGTAATCGCGCGCGTGCACGCCCGGCTGGGAGATAAGGATGTAGGCGGCTGCAGAACAAGATTTGAGGGAAGATGAAAGGGAGGAGGAGAGCGTGTGTGCGGATTCGAGCTGGCGTGAGACAAAGGGAGTTCTGTATATTGGAGATCACGTTGGTTGGTTGTCAGTGGCTTTCGTTCATGGGAGAAGGGGGCTGGGGAGGGGGGGGATGGGATGATAATGCGCGGGCATATAGGATAGATGGTATATATGTGTTTGGTTTGGCAAACTCACTCATGTGTAGAGAAGAGGAAGAAAGGCGATGTGTCTTTGAAGGCGTCGACGGCTGGTAGTGCTACCGATGCGAGAGCAAAGAGCCCCAGCCCGTTGATCCACATGGTTGCTGCTGAAGGCAAGGCAACTGGATGGTGTAGTTCGTGGGGACCTGCTGGCGTGTATTATGTGTGCACTATGTATAGAATGCATACAAAGGATGTTGGAGCTTGAAGCTTCCAAGGTTGTTGGAAAGCGGCTTGGGCCCGAGTTGACGACATGGCGGTCTTGGCATCAAGTCCGCGCTCTTAAGAAGTTTATTATTCCCCTTTTACAGATTTATTATAAATGTCCAAAATTAATACCATATTTTTTCTCTCATACACAAAATAGCAAACAAGCATGTACACTCCTTTTCTCCTCAAGGATGGAGTAGCGAACTTGCTTGTATAGTTTATATCAACTGCACTCAACTTTCTCCCTGTACTCCATGCTCGGTCATGAATTCAAGTTCTCATCAAAAGAGTATTCACCTCACATCTTTTCAACAGAATGAATAACAAAAAGAAACCATGGTATCCAAGGTATAGTGGGGGAAAGGGAGAAGAAAAAGAAATTTCAACCCATGTGCCTAGGGTAACTTGAATGAACATACAAAATGATATACATTCCTTGCCTTGCCTTACCTCATGTTCCATTTTTCGGTTTCCTGTGCAGTGCATTAACATGCACTTCTCCTTCCTCAGATTCCCCTTGTCTTTCTCAAATTCCTTCTCCGGGACGAAATCAACCCCCTACCATTATACATCACTCTCCTCTTTCCCTCTTACCCCATTTACCCCATTTACCCTATTTCTACATATCCTGACACACACGGACAGCCATAACAGACCAACCCTCATCCCACCATAACTCAAAAATCAAATAATCTATAGAAAAGAACCTCTTGCTCACCCAATAGTAGGAATGTGAGCTGACGGCACAGATCCATTGCCAACATTCTTCATGCTAGCCTCGCGAGCGCCGGCCAGGCCAAACTGCGACGGGACGCCCTCGATGCGGTGCGTGGAGTTGATGTTCTTCACTGCTACGATTTGCCAGCAGGTAGCGCTGCCCTGGCGCGAGATGATGACGGAGTAGGCGAGGAAGAATTCCCAGATCTATACGGAGGGGAAGGGGTTGTTTGTTAGCCTTTGTACATATGAGACCGGACTATTAGGGAAGCGTGGAATGAGAACATACCCTATACCACCTCTTGCCATACTTGGCTTCCACCTTCTCCTTATTAGCAATCCAGTTCCGATACCACCGCCACAGCGTCGCGGAATAGTGCACGCCAACTGTGTCGATGCCCTTAATCTCGAAGCCAGCACCTTCAAGTCGATCAATGACAAAGCCAAGGGGCGTGCTGGCATCAGCACCGGGGAATATGTACTTGTTCATGAACAAGCCCCAAATAAGATCCTCATACTGCCACGCCTTGCGCAGTCCGGCAATTTGCAAGAAGAAGACACCGTCATCATTCAACATGTCATGAACCTGCGAGAAGAAAGAGGCCAGGTGGCGTACGCCGACATGTTCCGCCATCTCGAGACAGGTGATCTGATTGTAGCCGCCGGGTACGACCGGGCAGTCACGGTAGTCGGAGCAGACGATGCGGCTCTGGGATTCTTCGATGCCGGCGTTGCGTAGTGCGTTGTTGCCCCATTTGGTTTGGTTGCGACCTAGAGTGATACCTGTGACATGGGCGCCGTAGTGCACGCTGGCGTATTTGGCGAGAGTTCCCCAGCCGCAACCTAGGTCCAGCATCCTGTCACCACGCTTGACCTGGATCTTTTCGCAGACGACCGCAAGTTTATTGTCCTGCAATTCCTCGAGAGTTTCTTCCCTGTTGATATCGCTGATGATGCCGCTGGTATAGATCATGCGTGGACCAAGGAACCAGCCATAGAAGTCATCGCCACGGTCATAATGGTCCCGGACTTGTTCCTCGTCTGTAGAGTATTAGTGTATGTAGATCTATAGATAAGGTATAGACAAGAGTAAATAAAGAAAGAATAATACCTTGGCTACGAGTATGCATAATAACTTCCGGAATCATGCCTGTCAAGAAAAACTTATACAAGCTCATCGTAAAGCGGAATGCAGCCCAATCATGACGATACTCCATGGCCTCAAGACAATCGCCCTTGAAATCCACAGCGCCGTCAAAGTACATCTCATGGAAGGTTTCCATGGGAATCTTGCTCTTGCCATGGTATCTGGCGCGGTCATGCTCGCTGTGGAAATGCAGGTAGTGCTCGACAGGGCGTCCGGGATATTTGGCCTTTTCGTTCTTGCGAGGCGAGATCGAGGAGGCTACGGACCAGAAGACCATGAGGATCGGGATGGTGGTGAGGATCGCCAGGAAGATTGTAGTATACAGCCCCCCGCCGATTTGGCGGGCGAAGTAAGCTGGAACGAGGACAAGAAGAGAGATGAGGAGGATGTTGGAGAAACTGTCGCTTCCGGCGGCGTCAGCTGGTAAGGGGGCATTTTTGATGGCAGGATACTACAAAAGTTCGAATTAGCACTGGGCTGGCAGAGCAGAAGGGAGCAGAAGATTTGTATGTGGAGAATTGATGAGTATATATTGTAAAACAGCCAATTGATTGAAAAATCGACATGGGATAAGTAGGGGATAAGAATTGAAAGCTCACCGCTGTGGTCCGCACACCGCAGCTATCTGACGAGGGAGGCTGGGACGCAGCAGCGGGAGTCTCGATAAACTCGAAGTCCTCAGAGGACTCGGAGTGAGCTCTCGCCATGGTGGTATATGCTTGGCCTGGCGGGGAGGGTAGGGAGGGAATTGAGGAGGAGGGAGGAGGGGAGATAGGAGAAGAGAAGAGACGGAGGAGAGGAGGATATCTTGTTGAGGCCGGAAGGTGAGCGAGCTCCCTGGGAAACACGTTGGAGCAAGGGACAGCCACGCACACAAAGACACCCACAAATAGTTAAACGAACTAATCAATTAGTCGTCAGGAGTCCACTGCTCGGCAGCATGTGGGATTGGCCAGCAGTGGGCGCAGACGCTAAAGAGCTGGGTAAACCGAACAAGACCTCAACAAATCGAAACTGCGAAAATTGAGGTCGAGGACCCGGACTTTCTTCTGCAATCACGATTCTCTTCTTACTGGAAAACCAGCCCGAAACAAATTAACATTATTAAAAGGTATTATATGCTCAGCCTCGGTCAGTTACGCCTCCCCCACAGTCCACTATTATTCGTGGCAGCAGTTCCGAAGGGTTCCTGTCTGTTGAACTAAATAATGCAGCTTGCAGATCCAGACTGTACGGGACAGCAACAGTGCAAAGCTGTCACGTAACATTGAATACTTCAGGGGTCCAAACCGCACCAACTTCTATTATTTATTCAGTATTGAATTCCTTTCTGAAGAATCAAGGTAAACCTAGGTATCAATTCTATTCCCCACCTAGGCCGTGCAGTACAACTGAACTCCACCGTAGGCAACCCCAATTGTGCTTCCTGGGGATTACTTCCTACCATTAACTACACCACAGGTGAAAAATACCGGTTGCTCCCAGAAAACGCCATTCCCCCGTTGCCAAATGTTTATAAAGTGCACGGTCATCTGTAGCTACTGCACAGTAGGAATAAACCAGAAAGAGAGACCAGCAGCAACAAAACCGCAACGCCAGATGTCCATCAGACGCCTATGATCGTTTGGAGTGACCCACCCAATAAACCCTAGTTTAAATGCCTTCATTTAAACAGAGAGAAGGTAAGAAAGGACCGTTGTAATAAATCCACATCACAGCGTAAGCTGGAAATTCTCAGCCTCTCATCCTCCATAGGGAATAGTGGGACTTCCTTC